ATCCCCGTCCCGCTGGTCCCGCCCCCGCGCTCAGCGCGGCCCACTGTGCGCGGGGTAGCGCTGCAAAAGGGGTGAGTGAGGGTGAGGGTGCAAGTTGCGCAGGTCAAAAGCCCGGTTGAAATGTGAGATGTGGGGATTTTTCAGAGCTTGGCACGTTCGTGTGAATTCGTCCGCATGAACCCTGCAGGACGGATGGTTAGTTTGAGCAAGGACTCACCGTGTATGGTGAGCTCCGAGTCCTTGTTGAGCTCGTACAGGCGGATAGCCTCTCGGAGCTCCATCTGGGTGGTGACGGTGCACGGGTCGCCCTCCTCGTCCACCCACTTCATGGTGAAGACCTGCTCGCCCGAAAAGTGGCAGATGGCCCGCATCTCGCGCTGCAGCTGCTCCAGGGTGATGTTGGGGTCGATGTAGGTGATCATCACCTCACTGGAACAAACATCATCAGGTTGGGACGCTTCCTACCATTCAGTTTGAAATTGACTATCTGAGTTGTTCTGCAGAATTTCTGCAGTTTCTAACATTGCCAATTTGATTCCACATGTGTGCTATAATTAAGCGAGCAGTTTGAGACGGTTGGGCGGGCCTTTATATTCGGATAATTTGTATGAATTATAGAGAAGAAATTCTTAACACTGAATGAGTTAAGTTGAAAATGTTCAAAGTCTTACCCATTGAAGACAGTTTTTACTCGAATCTCTGGGACATCCATTTCTGGAGCTAGTTGGGTGGGCATGATGGAATGAAACACTTAAGCTATGCGGGGTTGCCAAGACTCCTTAGTCCTACTAAAAACAAAACCAAGAAAACAGAGAATCCAATATTAGGGCAAAACACATGCAGCCATGCTTTTAAACTCATAAAATACATGCTACACAAAAATCTGGAAATGATTGACCAGAGCCGCAAAGCACAAAATAAATTAGGTAGTAAATCGATGGGTCACAAAACAATGTGTAACGTAAACAGTAAGCTTCAGATACCGTAAAATAGCATAGTATAGAAATGCATGATATGAGAGACACAAAAAAATTAACTAAACACCAATATATATTTCTAAAGACCTTTTACATACATCCTCAATAAATTGTATGAGACAGTATCCTCGTTCAATTAAATTATTAAAGTGCTTCATATTTGAAAATAAACTAATGTGATCCTCTAACAAGCATTACTTCACTTAACTCTGGAAACTCAACTGAAAACTTTAGGTCCAGTCCAATTCACAGGAAAGAAAACATAACCAAATTAGCTAATGACGGTTAAGCAAACCTGAGTAATAGAAACGTAGTGAGAGGCAAAATAGGATCATTTTGGAAAAACTAAATAGAATTAAATGCAGTTAATCTTGCAACTAACAAAGTATCAAGACAGAATACGTAAAAAATTAATGAAATACAAACTAGAAATTATCCCCTTACATGAGTCATACTGACATCTACTTGTTAATAGCCTCAAACAAGACAGGAAACCATTGCATTCATTCAGTAGCAACCACAGCCTCAATAAAACTTACACGCAACAAAACCCTACTTCATGAAAAAGCTTCGTAAATTCAGAGGTAAACAAAAAAAACCTTTCCACATATCAACGCAGCCGACTCCTCAATAATTTGCCGAGCCCTGCCCTAACCCTACCTCTACCACCCCCACCCCCACCACACCCCTGCTCCTATCCGCACGCCTCTCACACCACCAACACCCTCGGCATCTGAGCGAGCATATCCAAGCAACTACAGAGCGATCCGTTTAACTCGCAAACACGATCGACGAAAGCACTTTTTGTTGCAGGGGCATTATATTTGTAGCATGTATGACACACGATTTCTCTAAGTTAGAAAAGGGCGCAGCTTATCGGTGGCGTAGGTTGGCTGACATGTTGCGGCAACTGGTGTCAAAGGAAACGCGCTTGGCTTGAACTTCCTAAGTGTTACAGACAAGTCAGCATTAAGAAGGCCACGAGAAGAGTGTGTGTAATTGTCACTGTTATGCATATATTGTGTTTTTTGGTGGGTTTTTTCATAATTAATAACAAACAGAGTTTTTTTTTCTTCCACTATAACACACTGGACATTTATTTCCACCGCTACACAGACACATTGACCAAACAAAGACATGACTGACTTAATCTACCAACAATAATCAGCACCAAAGAGGATAAAGAGGAGGATGACAAATAATTGAGTGACACAAATGTGTGGGTAGTTCCAACAAAAAATTCCCTTCTAAAGTGAAAAGCACATTTTTGATGTTGGGCAAGGAGTAAGGGTAATGATGGATTTAGTCTCAGTGAAGCCAGTGAAGCTGAAGCCACCCCGTCATTTGTTTTGGGTAATCTGATTGGTCGCTTGGTCATTCAACCAATCAGATTGCCCAAAACAAGTGACGGGGTGGCTTCAGCTTCACTGGCTTCACTGAGACTAAATCCATCATTAAACTGATAAGTTTTTAGAAATGTGAAAAATACCAGATATAAGATTTTTTAAAAGAATGAATCTAAGACAAAGATTGCTTAGTGGCCTGTAGATTGGACTCCTAGGAGGGCAGAGTAGCGGAGGGAAGTTCATCTGGAAGACAAAATTAACAATATTTACTACATAGAGTAAGCAGAGAGAAGTTCAATAATACCAAAGTTTATACCAAGAAAAATTTCATCACATTACCTTTTCGGTCACAATCCCCCAAACTTCCATCAAATTTCAGTTTAACTGGCCTTAAGTTTAAGTGTGGGATAGGTTTCACAACTGGACGGATTGAGAGAGGCTAAGGTGTTGTTGGTGAAAGAGTTTCAAATTTCTTGATTCTTTTCTTGAGTGTTAAAACTTCTAGAAGTATCTGGAAAATAATATTAAGATTTTTTTAACAGAGAGCACAAATGAAGATCAGTTAGATTGTGAGAATAAACTATGACTGAAATTACTATGATTGTAACCAGATAAAAAAGTTGATATCATTATGTTAGTTTTGAGAAATAATTAGGCATATACTGTAGAACACACACCCTGCTCATTGATGACTGGAGGAATTTCCAAGATCCCCTTCTGAGAAATCAGAGTAAGTGGAGGAGGACAAGCTTGATCTACAGGTGACAAAGCAGGCAAAGGGCGGAATATCTGGAAGACAGTTCACAATATTTAGTGCATAGAGTAAACAGATGGTTGGAAGTTCAGTAGCATACCAAAGTTTTAACCGGGAAAAATTCCATCATCTTACCTTTCAGGTCACAATCCCCATGACTTCCTTCCAATTTACTTTGAATTTTCTTTGATTTTGAGTCTGAGGTAGGTGTAATGTTAGCTAATCCACTATGAGATGGTAAGCGAGAATGAGCTTCCTTGAGTGGCGGAATTTGAGAAATTTTCCTGATTGTTTTTGGAGTATTGAAAGAACTAGAAGTACCTGAAAAATAAGGAAGATCGGTTAACAGAGAGCACAGATGAAGGTTAATTGGATTGTGAGAATAAACCAAGACTGACAAATAACCATTAAACCATAAAATGAGTTTTTGCTGAGCCTTTCTTTGACCCATATGCTAGCATGTCTTCCAGAACAGAGGGGACAGACCCAGTCTTCTTCCTATTTTCTAAGAAGGAATTAAGTATTGAGTGAGTACGGTGCATATAAATGGAGTTGGCCACAAAAAGAAATAATTGATGATGTCCGAGTAGGCATGAGTACACTTACTGAATTGCCCTACACATTTCCCGTGAAACCATTTCTCACAAACAACACAGCTTATCGTGAAACTAGAAAGCACAAAGGAAGCAAGATATAGCCTCTAGTAGGATTGAACACAATGAAATTGAATGAGATAATTGAGATAAGATTGACACTGTGGATCAAAACGTACCTTTAAACATTGAAGTAAATAAACAGCGGGCATTGCATTCGTTTGTTCTTCATATTTCCAAAATAGAAGACTTGACAAACATGAGCATTTCGTTTTGGAGAGATAGTTTACCAAATGAGTGCTATGAAGTTATAAATTTTGCAATGTGCTGGTCTGAAACGCAACTGCAGCTCCTGGAACATTTTGAAAGACCGTGATCTAATCTTCACGGCCTTCATACAAACAACTTAATTGGACTGCAGTCAATAAGCAAGGTGTCAATAAGTGAATAAAATTTATGATATTTATTGGTCGAGTACTTAGCTTTAACTAAAGCTGAAGCTATAACTCTGAGACCTTATTTCGACGCTCATGAACTCAAATAAATTTGTTTGACCAATGTAAAATCATTCCAAGGCCAAAATAATACATGTAAATCGTTAAATAAAGTCATTAATGGGCCCAAGTGCAAATGACACCACTCGACAAAAAAAAAATCACATTTACATAGTCTTTTGGATGCAAAAGACTGTACCGATAGTTCAAACCACTGACAGAACTGACTGAACAAGACATCCGTCTGCTTTGTTCCAAGTAACTTTGTTGCCAACTGTCATCAAATAACCACAGAGATGAGTGACTAAAATTCGGATGGACTTCATAATAAAGAGACTGTCTCTCAATCTAAAAGGATGCAGGTTTTTGTTATTTTTTTTGTCCAAAATCACACCAGGATGACATAATGATCGAGGTTGGCAATATTGTATTGTAGAGGAGAAGGAGAAGCGAGAAGAAATCGGAAAGAAGAAGAAGGGGTTAAAAAGGGGCGTGCCGGCGGAGACAGCCCTCTCATTCAACTTGTGCTGCTGTGCTGTGTCACATTGTCAACGTCGCTACAGCAGGAGTGCTTCAGCTTCAATCCGATGAGCCAAGTAAGTCTTCTCGATATCCTTCTGATGTTGGCGTTTGTCTTGAGACGAAAACTTTTTGCACATACAAGTCATTCAGTCACCGATCAGCCGGTCTGTGACTAACCTTACCACTCCACATGGTGTATTCGTCTGTCCGTTCGGAT